TCTCGGTCGATGTCTTTTATACACAGTAAAAATGTCTCCAAGCGGCGGACGTAGCACGTAGCTACTTGCAAAGGTACGTACGTGCATTGTCGGCGGTCGGCGGTGTCGGTAGCCTCAACGAGCCGCTAGACAAAAAATAAAACGAATGCCGAACTCACATGGATAAATAACTTGAGCAAACTATTTAGAATCGGGCGGTAACTTGCGCAACCTATAGAGATTTCTAGTAGCCTGTATTTAAAAAAAACGAGTCTGTTAACACTACGAGCGACCGCGACTACACAGCAACCCTACATACAACGCAGGCAACACCAGTACCACGTACTACACAGCATCGACATGTACACAAACACAACAACCGACACTACGCCCGACACTTCCTACTCGATTTCCATTTTTCCCCGCGGCGCATATAAGCTTGACATGTGCGGGTGAGCTCTTCGGTCGCTGACCATTACAGATTTATAGAAGAATACACAAAACGCGGCGCAATGGACAGCCGTGTGTTAGAACTGTTAGCATTTAAAAAGTATGGAGGCAAAATTTATAATGCTAGTCCGTTGCAATAAATAACGATATGTTAACAATAAATCTTAAACCGGTCATGAAAAAGTTCAAATTTTTGTTATTTTCTTGCTTAACCAGTGTTATGAGCAGTCCGAATAGCTTGAATCAGATAGGAAAACAAATTATTGGGATTTTGTCATTACGTATACAATAATAAATGAAAATGATCCTTGCGCAAAGCATTTTTTATATATTTTTGTGGAGGACATCCGGACATCCGCCCAACACTTCACTTCCGCTAGTTGCAGTACGGGAGCAGTCGCCTTCACTTTTGGGGCGTTTTGATGCAGTTTGTTGTCGTATGTCGTGTCGGTGTCGAGTGGAGCGGTAAGGCTTGGGAGTTTGTGACCGGTGTTATTCGTGAACGCTGGTGTGGGGCGCTGATGCGTCTATTTTTTATACTGCCACCACCCCGAAATTTGAAGATACACGGGCCCGTATAGCAGTGCATTATGCTGAATCGCGAGCTCCTTCTCTGTTGACGTCGCTTTCCTGGTACCACTCGTGGATACTGCAAGTGTTTAAACAGTGTGCACCGTCTCGCCTACATCCCCGGTGACGTACTTGACCTGTTGAAACTGATTGCTTCCGTCATTTTAGACTACGCAAGGCAGTTATCTCGTTGGTCTGGTTTCGGTTATAAAAGCAAGGCAAAACGCTCGTAGTTCCCGCCTTCAGTACACGTTGGACATCTTCCACACTTTGACACCGGATAACTGAATGAACGAGGATTTACATTCACTTCCGAGGTTACTCTCGCCGCTTCCTCACCGTTGAGCAGCAGGATGAGCTGGCGACAAGCCGCGGATGAAAGGCTTGAGCATCAACAGCCCAAGCGCACTCGGTGCCGATGCCGGCGAAGCGGGTTTCTGTCAACCAGGAGGCCAGCACAAACCGTGACCGTTCCAGCTCTTCGTCATGACACGGTGTTGCAGAGAGCAGGGTAAAATACAGCTACACGGAACACCGAAGCAAACGCACTGCTATCTTATATCTTGACTTGTGATTGCGCCTTTGTAGCATCTTATTCGTTTTGCTGGAGAGACGCAAACGACGGGCATAACAAAATCGCTTGCATATTCCGCATATCTCACAAAAGCATTTACCCTGTCACCTTGCGAAAAGCGCGAAACACGGAGTCCGCACCGTCCTAAGCTTCCCGTTTTTTACCTGCTTTAGAGCAGTTTGTACCTGCTAGTAAATATGCCTACTGAAACTGAAACAGGGCAGAGCCAGAGAGAAAGAGACGAAGTTGGGAAAGCTTGCTCGCTCTCCAATTTCTCAACTCTCACGTGATTGTACTATAATAAATGCACCAACGCCCCTTCCAAAATAAAGAAAGAGCACTACGTTCACAACGTAAAAAATGGTCTCAGTGCATGCATCTGTGGGGAGGTAGGAAACCTTGCCCTAATTTATTCACGCCGCATGATTGACGCAACAAACTCGTTGCAGGACCGAATCATCTACTCGAGTGGTGTGCGTCGCTGTGCAAACGCAGTCCAACACGAAGCATAAAAAACGGCAGATTTAAAACAACAATCCGGAGTCTATTATTCAATTAAAACAACGTAATTTTGTTGAAAACGCCCGCTGCTTCTTACTCACGGTATGTGTCGGGATATTTACACAGTTTGAAACGGAACGAAGAAAGACTTACTTTTAAAAACGCTCGATGCGTCCTCCCGGACCAGCTGGACCGGATCAGCTGACGACGAGGCGACTATACCCGTTGAATCTCCACCCCGCAACAAACAATTTGCGCTCCGTGTTAAAAGCGTGGTTCAAACAGACCCGGAATACAAAGCACCGCACCACACACGACGAACGTTTCAGCTCTTTTTCGCATCGCCGGGTTGCACCAAACAGAACGAGATCGCCGAAGTCAACGCCGCGCTGTCGTGAACCTTGGCTTGTGGTTGCGAACTCGTGGACCCTGTGGCTCCCTTCGCTTTCAAAACACACACGACGATTACGAATGGTACTTTCCGTCTTCCGGGAACATCACAGGGGCACTTCTCCGGTCATGTCTTCACTATTTGCTCGCAAACTCCGAAGCTCTATGCGAAGCTTCTCGCGTCCCGTCAAACCAAAACAGTAGTGGCGCCATGCGCACTTGCCAGATTTTCTCCGGTCAAACAAAAACAACGAAAGCCAACCGGCTCTTGCTTCCAGCGTACATCGGCGTTGCGCTTGCGCCGTGGCCAGATCGCTTGCAGTTGAAGGTTGAAGCAAAAACGAAACCAACTGCAATGTCACGTGTTCACATCGAGGACACGCTTTTTATATCTCTTTTAACTGTTTGGAACGAATAATTAGACCCATGACTTTATTTGTGGTGTGTAAGAAACTGTTATCAAGACCCCTAAACTAAATACAAACATGGGCGACATGAGGGAAGCCGCATTGCCATCGACCAGAAAATGGCGGGGCGGCTTGCACAGTAAGGGTGGGTTTCGCCGACGTCCTGCGACATGGCGCAATTGCTTTTGGTGCATATCTGTCTCCGAGACATGTTTTTTTCCGCGGCATTTGTCTCGACGGTCCTTTCTAAGTGTGTCCCCAAGCATTCCGGTGCTTCGATAGCCGGCAATGCCGCGGTCGTCGCCGGGGGCGATGCGTGTTATCGAGGTCGGCTACACGGTTATGCGTGTATGACCGAACCAAAACACGTTTTTTACAACCTCGCATGATTTCTGAACGAATTATCCGTTACTCATCGTGTACATTTATGGTAATTTGTGTAAATAGCGTGTTTTTCACCCCAAATATTCGCCAAATACACGGGACTTGCTAACAGTGTGGTATCCAAGAAAACACTAAAACGTGACTTGTTGTTAAGCATATTTCCAGTGCCTTTGTACAGGAATGTTGCTTGCAGCGAGGGCCGTGATGTATTGAAACGGGTGAAACGTATGTGCATTCCCCCTTCAGTAAATATTTTTTTCTTTAAATTGCACTGCAATGTTTTGCATACGAAAGCTTAGCTTAAGGAAAAAGGTGTAGATGTGCTATGGCCAGTGGCGTGTCGGTTGTGTAAACGACCTGAAACCATCGAAAACGTTTTCATATTTTGTTGGGACGCAATTTTTCGGGGGACGGCTCCTAACGTACCTTGAAGAAGTTCTGCATTACCCCATCTGGCATACGTTGCCTGAAAGTGACAAATGATGATTGTGTGCCATATGACATGTTTTTCCTTTTGGGGATGTGTAGCATTCGGCGGTCCCCATGGCAGTTTGGCATGCGAACCCCAGTGCCAAAGAGGTACGTTTCTTTTTTTTTCACTCGTAAAACAGGTTGAATGTGTTTTTGCCACACGCGAGCCTAAGCCAGAGTGGCTGGGCTTGTGTAAACTACTGCTCGAAATGCGGGCTTTTCAATATGCACTGCAAAAGCATTGTAATCCATTTTTAAGTGGTATCGACGTGAACTGTTGCTTGTTGTGGTAATGAAGATGAAAAGATAAGTAGGCAGCGGGCTCCTGGCCTAACGGTTATCGCCCTTGCCTTCCACGCAAAAAAAGCCAAAATTCGATGCGTGGCCGCGGTTACAGATTTTTAGTTGACTCTGGAATGTGATGTTCTCTAAATTCGAGAACCGTGTTGCTTGTTCTAGGTCAGAATGTTCTTCGCGCCGAATCTTCTAGGCCGATTGTTCCAGCTGGAAGCCAACGCGCGTACAAAGGTGGTCCGCGTGGCGAGCCGGGATCAGTCTCGCTCCAGCGTACGATCCTGCTGTTACGCCGCTATCAACGCCCGCAATGTGCTATTGTTATCTTTTGTTTCCTTTTTGTTTTGGGCACAACTTCGCCGCATTAAACGCTTAGTTTCTCCAGTTATCATCGCTTCACCAATTGTCATTCGTGTCAGTATAGGGAGTATTCACTTGAGGCCATATCTGTGTGTGTGGTTGCTGAGCGCGTGCTGACGGCGAGCTTCCACAGTTCTTTTGGAACGTGCATTCTACACCATCAAGGTTGCCGGTCTTAGCAGCAGGCTCTTAATGTAAGCTCGTTCTGAACATGCGCACTAAACATCGCCCTCAAATATGGCGTCCAGTGAATGCCTCCTATAGGGTTCAATAAAACCGCAGTCATACTGATTAATCCATACAAAAGACACGGTGTTCCGCTACAGACCCGATAAGAAATTCATCTGCGGATTCGCCTCACGCTTGTTCGAAACACGTTTGCTTCATACACGCTTCGAAGATATGTCCGCAGAAAGTATGACAAAACTAGCAGAACCGTCACACAAGGAGAAGACACGCCTCAGACAGTGTGTATACAGACCGTATCTTTTGTACAACGCATTAGCAGCGTCACGAATGTGGCCTGCCTGGACGTATGTGAATGCATCTCCCTCGTGCAAACGAAAAGATTCGGATTCACGTCCTAAAGTGCGCGATGACGCAGTCGGCGCAGAGGGTACCTTTGTGGACTTCGCCCAAGTAGGCAAGCAAGGACTGCTTGTTGTCCTTCCAGAAGCGGGGAAGCTCTTGTCTCAGCGGGTACTTGCAGCAGGAGATTTCCAACGTCACCTCCATGCAGCCTTCCCAAACGTAATTGTAGTCCTGCATGCCACCTGCGAGAACAACGCGGTGTAAGGAACGTGGACCAGGCGACGGAACCCGCACAACGCCCACCTTTGAGCCGGTACCAGGCTGCTCCGTTGGTGGTGCCGTTGGGGAAGGACCAGTCGTCGCATTGCGCCCCCAGGTACATGTTGGCGTGGTTGAACGAGTACACGCTCGCGATGTGCTTGAACACGTCGTCATCGGGCGTCAGTGACGCTTTGTTGTACTGGCGGGACACTACGGGAAGAGGGGGAAAAAAAGAACGCGAGCGTGCGAACACGCGGAATATGAACCTCGATTCTTCCTGACTGCAGTGATTAAGGCCTTTCGAGTCTAAAAGTTGCATTAGGGCGAAGGGTGGCTTCACACAACAGTAGTCATTGTTACGGTCGAGCCGTGCCAGTCTGTCGCTTCATAAATACCCCCTCGGAAGGCAGACTATATACACCATGAACATTCCAGGTAATATAGTTAGAGGACGCTGGCCCACTATTTGCTCACACACGTTTCCGAGGACGATTGCTACAACTCCTCGGTTTTGCGAACGTTCTTCTATGCCTCTTTCAAAATTGTATAAAACTTGTTAATATGGTCGTTGCAAGAGATGTAGATATAGTCACTGACAACACTCAGGGTGTGGCGCATCATGGTTACGCTTCTTGTTTCCTGATTGGATCTTGGGTGTTTTTATCAGCTGATGCCGCAACCTGATCGGCTGCGGAGCGGTAATTAGATGTTCGGGACTCGCCACGTCCGAGTTCCCTAAATTGTTAGCAACCATGAAAGCTGCAATATCTTGTCCACGGGTATTTTTATATCTGCCTCCGTGTGCGGGTTCTTGTGGGTGAGCTTTGAAATTAGTTTTGTGAGTTTTGTAAGATTTGTGAGGGTTTAATATTAGTTTTGTAAGATTTGTGAGGTTTGAAGTTATCTTTTTTGTGAGATTTGAAATTAGTTTTGTAAAATTATGAGGTTGCGAAATAAGCATTTCGTAAGATTAGAAAATAGTTTTCTGAGATTTGTGATGTTTGAAATTAGTTCTGTGATAGTTGGGAGGTTTGAAATTAGCTTTTTGTGAGATTTGAAAGGAGCTTTTTGGCAGATTTTAAAATCGTGTTGTGAGATTTTGGAGGTTTGAAATTAGTTCTGTAATAGCTGGGAGGTTTGAAATGAGCTTTATGTGAGATTTGAAATAAGCTTTTCGTGAGATTTTTAAGGTTTGAAATTAGTTTTTTGATAGTTGCGAGGTTTGAAATGAGCTTTTCGTGAGATTTGAAATGAGCTTTTTGTGAGATTTGAAATGAGATTTGCGAGGTTTGGAATTAGTTCTGTGATAGTTGTGAGGTTTGAAATTAGCTTTTTCTGTGCTAATTGTGAGGTTTGAAATTGGCTTTTTGTGAGATTTGAAAATAGTTTTTGAGAATTGTGTGGTCTGAAATTGGTTTTGTGATAGTTGTGAGGTTTGAATAGAGCTTTTCGTGAGATTTGAAAATACTTTTGTGAGATTTGTGAGCTTCGAAATTAGTTTTGTGAGATTTGTGAGGCTCGAAATTAGTTTTGTGATAGTTGTGAGGTTTGAAATTAGCTTTTTGTGAGATTTTAAAACTGTTCTGTGCGATTTGTGAGGTTTTAAATTAGTTTTGTTATAGTTGCGAGGTTCGATATTCTGTGACATTTTCTGTGAGATTTTAAAATAGTTTTGTGATGTTTAAAATTAGTTTTGTGATAGTCGTGAGGTTCGAAATTAGCTTTTTTGTGAGATTTGAAACTATTTTTGAGAGATTTGTTAGGTTTAAAATTAGTCTCGTGATATTTGCTAGGCTTGAAACTAGCTTTGTTTGTGAGTGTTGAAATTAGTTTTTGTGAGAATTGTGATCTTCGAAATTAGGTTTGCGATAGTTGTGCGGTTTTAAATTAGCTCCTTTTGTACGATTTGAAATGAGCTTCTTGAGAAATTTGAAAATAGTTTTTCGAGATTTGTGAGGGTATAAATTAGTTCTGTGAGGTTTGTGATGTTTAAAATTAGTTCTGCGATAGTTGTGAGGTTTGAAATTAGCTTTTTTGTAAGGTTTGAAAATAGTTCTATGAGATTTATGAGGTTTGAATTTAGTTTTGGGTCATTCCACGTAAAACGTGCACTCGGCCCCTTCCAATTTATAAAAAAAAATATCGCCTTTTGCCGCAATGTCTGTAGCCTTGCCCTGAAATACTTTTGACGAAAAATATTTTTTGATGACGTGAGCGCGGTTTTAACTTTTAAAAACAGCGTGAAACTAGGCATTACTCAATAATTCAGAAAAAATAAGCTTTTTAGGGAAACGCCCAAAAACATATTTCCTTAAATTTGCACGGCCTTCGACTTACAATGTGGTTGGGCTTTTAATGTTTTGTTTAATTTAAATATATATATTTTTTTAAAACAACATTTTTAAACATTTATCATTTTTGTTATTTTATTTAAAAATATCTTATAGCTCCCGGGATTTAAGAGAACTTTTTACCAGCTGCCCTGCACGTATATAATCTATAAAAATGTTTTCAACCGTCCAATTAAATGTCTCGCTGTAAACAAAAATCCTGAAGTTGCAAAAAATGGCGTTTTAACGCATACACAGCCGTTTATTTGACCCTAAGGTGGTCCAAGTAATAATACAAAATATGGTGGGTTTAGAAGAACAATCGATAATCTCTTGATTCTGAAAGTTTATTCGAAGTAATTTTTGTTAAAATCGAGAAAACAATGTTTGAATTTGAACTCTCGCACCACAACCCGGCCTCGCTTCTTAACGCCTCTTCGCCGCACAGCACGCCACCTACGACGATAGCTGACACGATTAGGTCCAAAGAAAGAACAGAGTTTTCTGCCCCTTCCCTTTGTCCGTCTTTCCGGCTACAAGGGAAGAAATGGCAGGTATCGCGTCATAATCGGAAGTGCCTCCAGCACGTAGCAATAGCAGGCCCGTTCTGCCCTTTGTACCCGAAGGCTGCTCAAAACGCGATGCATGAACGACGGGCCGAATCAGGTGACCAGGACTTCTCCATGCCATGCCAAAGGTTCCACGGCCACCTCCGAGTCCTAAAATAAAATTGATGGCTCTTCACCGTAACGTTTCTGGGACTCTCTAACATTTTTTTTGACGAAAAACAAATTTCATCGGGTGATGGCGGTTTGAACTAGTAAAAGGGGGTTTAACTAGTGAGTCATTCTATAATTTATGAAAAAATAAGAATTTTTTACGAAACACTGGACTATTTTTGCCTAAAAATCGTATGGTATTTGGATTGCTATGTAATAAGGATCATGGTCATGGAACTTGGTGTGCTCAAAACAGTTTTAAAAAATGAGGTATATACGAGCATTTTAGCATATTTTAAGTTTTGTTACAAACTATAGCTTTGCTGCTTGCGATTGTAAACACTCTTCTTGAAACCCCTGTAGGTATACTGTACACAAAAAGGTTTCAGGCCGTACAACTAAATATCTTGCAGAAAAAAAATTGTGTGCAAGATTGCGTTTTCCCGTTTAAAGAGCCGTCAATTCTGCCTTGAGGTGGCCCAAAGAAAACTATGTAACATGGTGACTTCTACACAAGAGTTTATTTCCTTTTGTTCTTGAAAGTTTAATTAAAATAAATTTGTTCTAAAGAGGAAAAAAAAAAACATTTTGAAATTGAGCTTTCGAGCCGCAATCTGGCGTCGTCCTTGCATCTCCTCTCTGCACAGCACGCCATCGTCGAGCCCGGCAAAGCGTGCGAAAGTGTCACGGTGTGCGCACGCAGGTAGGCAGCAGGACATCGAGTTGTCGGGGACATCTTGGTGGGAAAAGGCTTTTTTATACTCTTGTTGCTTTATGGCTTTTCCTATTCAGACCGATTTCCGCGGCTGTGTCCTCCTGTGGTCTTCCACTGTCTTGATATCAGCAAATGCTTAGCACTGCCAGATAAGAGCGTCCACTACTAAGCTAGCTGATTCTTACGAAAACATCGCAATCACTTTCTCTTCTCGACATTAGGACAGATGTAAACACCAACACAAAAGCCCCGTAAACGGGCAATCTCATACGACGAGGCGATATGGTGTTAACGAATGCGCGCAGTTGGAGGCTCACGCCTCGTTCGTGATTAAATCAGCTTTGAAATGGCAATTTCATGCGTCGCTGAATAGTTCCGCTTTTTCGCCGCAGTATGCGTGACAGCTAGATTTCGCGGCGATATTATCGCGTTTCCCTTTTTGGAGAAGTCCACGTCAGCTGCTGCCGCCCGTATAGCCGCCCTCGTGTACAAAGGGCACAACGGGCCTGATATTGCTACGCACTGGCGGCACCTCCGATTATTACACGGTACCCGCCGTTTCTTCCCTTGTAGCCGGAAAGACGGACAAGGGGAAGCGGCAGAAAACTCCGCTCTTTCTTTGGACCTAATCGTGTCAGCTATTGTCGCAGGTGGCGTGCTGTGCGGCGAAGAGGCGTTAAGAAGCGACGCAGGATTTTAATGCGGGAGTTCAACTTCAAAAAATGTTTTCTCGCTTTAAATAAAAATTACTTTGATTAAATTTTCAGAATCAAAGGATTATTAATTGTTCTTCCAAATTTTTGATAAAAAACTAAAATTTTAAAATTTATAATTTTTTTGAATAGTTTTTTTTTAACAAAACTTTACAAGCCCAACCACATTGTAAGTTGAAAGCCGTGCAAATTAAAAAAAAACATATTGTTGGGTGTTTCACTAAAAAGCTGATTTTTCACAAATTATTGAGTGATGGCTAGTTTCACGCTATTTTTGAAAGTTAAAACTGCGCCCATGTCATCAAATAAAATTTGTGGCAAAAATATTTTAGGACATGGCGACGGACATTGCGGCAAAAGGCCATACATTTTTTTTTGAAATCGGAAGGGGTCGAGCGCAACGTATGGGACGTTTTGCATGGTATGACCCTTTTGTGAGATTTGAAAATAATTTTGTGAATTTTATGAGGTTTGAAACTGGTTTTGTGAAATTTTTGAGGCTGGAAATTAGTTTTGGGATAGTTGTGCGGTTCGAAATTAGTTTTGTGATAGTTGTGAGGTTTGAAATTAGCTTTTTGTGAGATTTGAAAATAGTTTTGTGAGCTTTGTGAGGTTTGCCATTAGTTTTGTGAGATTTGTGAGGTTTTAAATTTGTTTTTTGATAGTCGTGAGGTTTGAAATTAGCTTTTTGTGAGATTTATGAGGTTTGAAATTAGTCTTGTGATAGTTGCGAGGGTTTGAAGTTACATTTTTTTGTGAGCATTGAAATTAGTTTTATGAGATTTGTGAGGTTTGACATTAGTTTTATGATAGTTGTGAGGTTTGAAATAAGCTTTTTTGGGTGATTTTGAATTAGTTGTATACAATTTAGGAGGTTTCAAATTAGTTTCGTTATAGTTGAGAGGGAGGGTTTGAAATTAGCTTTCTGTGAGATTTGAAACTAGTTTTGTGAGATTTGCGAGGTTTGAAATTAATCTTGTCAGAGTTGTGAGTTTTGAAATTGGCTTTTTACCGAGATTTGCGAAATTTTAAATTAGTTTTGTTACGTTTGAAATCAGTTTTGTGATTTGAAATCAAATTTTCTTTTTGTGATTCAAGATCGGTAACTCTGATTACCCGACAAGCTGACTAATGAGGGTTTTTTACCCCTGCCTCACCGGCGTTTGGCAAGTTGTCGAAGGGGTAGGAGACGACCTCGGCCCCGCCGTGGAGGTTTGCCGAGAGCACGAAAGGTATCTCGTGGATCCAGCGACGCACTGCCGTGGTTTCCGGCTGCTCGATCGCCGTCTGAGTCTCGAAGTAGTCCGGAAAGTTGCGGTTCAAATCCTCTCCGCGGGCGTTGGCCCTGCGTAAGTAGTGCACGTATGTGTTATTTCTATTACAGCGGAGCTGTTAAGAACTAATTTTCCCAGTATCATGTCCCCCAGCAAATAAATTGTTACACCAAACTCTGGACACCTACCGCCATCTATGAGCGATGGCGGCAACCAGACAACCGGCTGGTTGCCGCCGTCGCTCATAGATGGCGGTAGCTGTGCAGAGTTCGGTGTCATCGTCTCTGAGCGACGGCATTGTGCGCAACAGCGCGAATGGTTCCGCAACCACCGCCGCAAGGCCGTTATCGCCTCAAGTTCCACTTCGTCGAGCAGTTCAGATTCCCTTGCGAAAGACGAGCAGATCGCTCGCCTGAAAAGCCACCGCCGAGAACAGAAGCTAGAGCTCCGCAGCTGTTCCGTCTTCACCAGAGTGGAAAGGCTGAAACTTTTTTTTATTGGGTACACTTTTACAGAGCCCATTAATCATTACTGACGGTGGTGAACACTAATGATAACCATTTGTTTTCATTTGTCGCACAGAACTTTTTTTTTTAGTTTAAGACGGTTTTAGGCGAAATAGTACAATAAAGCTCCGCGCCTTTCCACACTATTTGCACACTATACCCTTGAAAGTTTTGCGCTTTAATAAGACGCCTTTAAGTGAAGAATACGCGCACAACTTAGGCTACTGGTTTTACTGTCGCTACTGTATAAAACATTAAACCAATGGGTCGTCTGCGTGTCTTAAATATAATCAATGACATCTTGTACATGAATTTGTACATCTAACAATCTAACTAACGTTCAGCATGAGCATTTAACCTAAACATCTGGTCAGTTAAATACGCGCCCTTGATTTACGACTCAATCTTCCGAATGCACTCTAAAAAAAGCCTATGCGTCTACTTTTTCGCACAACACTGGGAGAGTCAATTACCGCAACTTACGGAGGCAGATCAGCGAATGATAATGCCAAAACTATATGAAAAAAATGCAGCCTGAGTTGTGACATTAAGCAATGCAAGCGCGACGTTTTCCATTGCTTAATATCGCAACTCACACTGTGTTTTTCGGTGTTAACATACGTTTCGGCATCATCATTCACTGAGCTGCCTCCGTAAGTTGCGGAGATTGTCTCTCCCAGTGTTGTGCGAAAAAGTAGATGAATGGGCAAGTTTAAAAGTATAGCCTAGGCACACCATGAGGCAGCACACCTGCGCTATACACACAGGAAAATGCTATAAGACAACAAAAAGTAAACAGGTAAAACAGTCTATCGTTTACTACAAACCCTACAAGATAATAGACTTTCTGCTGTGGCTTTTAGAGTGCTTATTGTGCTTTTTCTTTTTGGTGATGGTGAATTAGTAACACCGAGTAAAGTATGTGTTCGCCTTCGAACCTATCGACGTGCAAGATCTACGCTCTATGGCATATTTTGTTGAATCTAATCCAAAGCATTAAAGAACATGCATGATTAAAATAGAAATGACTCGACACGATAAGCCATCCTGCAATATTGTGTTATATAAAAGTCTAAACAATTTCAGTAGAAAACCTTGGACGTTCGCAGTGTTAGACAACGCAACTAGATAGAAGCAATCTCAGACCCACAACCGAGCCTACCGTGAACTGGGTTCTAAACTAATACTCAGTTGGTGGGCACCCAAACAATTAAAAAAAAAGTTGCCATAATGGCAGACAAAATCAAGTAACTATTGACTTAACACTTAACCTCGGCAAGCTATAGATATACGCTTCGTCTATACTACTCCGTCGAACAAAGACTCGAGTAAACATGCCTTCTGCTTACCCAACTTCTCCTGCCAACAAAGAATGAACCACGCAATTAACGTCTGAGGACACAGAAAGTAGTAGCAAGCACTAGAAGAAAATACAGAAACAGTTTCCGGGCAAATCGAGATGGCGCAACGTGTTTGCGTTCAAGGTACACGACTTTCTCCTTGTTTTTCACATAACTGGTCTCGGCACCACACGTTGTGGATGACAATGCATACAAGATGCCGCATCTTACGAGGTAATAGAGCGTCATTGTTGCACCACTAAAATATGGAAAGTTTGTGCAATGTGCGTTTTCTTTTTCCTTTTTTAAGTAAGAGGGTTTTTTTTTTTTGGTTTTTTTTGTTTTCCTTTGCCGTCTTCTCTGGTCGCCCGTACGTCCAATAACGCTTTGCAGCTTGAATTTCGCTTGTTCTCACGTCGGAGTTTTCCCACCCTTGACCACTCGAAACATGAGAAATTTAGTCGACCTAACTTTCCATCGATTCGATAAATTCGTCTCGAAAGATTTTTAGAACAGAAGGACAGTCACAGGGGCCTTCACCCCGTTGTGAGCATATGGAGCCCGCCTTTCTTCTGCAAACACATGTTTGTTAAACTTTGAAAAAATATTTTCTGATTCTGCCTCTAGGATGCACTTTCACGAGATCCCAGGATATCGCCATTGAGTGGTAGCAGATCTTCCTTTTGGGACACGAACTGGAGACCTAATGGCAGTTTCACGCCATTGCGTTTTGAGTGGGATTGACTGCGCGTCACAACCGCTTACGACGAGATGAGACACTGGCGTCATATGTCGGGCAACCCTGGAAGACTTTTGGCCTGCGCATATTTTACGCAACATTCTTTCACCGTGGGCGGGAAGCCAACTCTGAAAATGTGATGATTGACCATTTCTTAGTGCGTAGCTTGGATCTCGCAAAGGCTGCTAAACTTTCGGTCTATTGTCCTATCCAAATTTGAAGTGCCAACAGATGGCGCCAGCATGCCAGTGTGTTCTCTAGAGAGCTTATGAATCCTTACGGAGAGTTTCCAACCGCTGGGTTGTGTACTTTATGGGGCGCGCTTGCAATTCGAGCTGCGAGGTAGCGGTGGAAAGCGTCCATCGTCAGCAAGCGCTTCCACCTCTCCATCTGTTGTCCTCCTCGTCACGCAACAACGCATGCGCATTTGCGACCAATCTCCGCAGGAGGCGTGCGCCAATAAAAGCCAAACGCTTCCCGCGGTTTTAGTTGCACGCTCTGTTCAATCTAAGCTATCCGGTGTTCTTTCGTCGCGAGCGATCACTATAGTGGTTGTACGATGCAATCGATGATCCCCCTCAAACCCAAATGTGTGAACATTTGCCTTTACATTGCAAGCAGCCGCGAAGATGCCACGGCTGAATACGCACCGTCCGTGCCCGCTCTTACAGTCGCCCTCCTCGGAGATCTCGTAGCCGTCCGGGTTCATGCTGGGCATGATGTGGATTCGCGTGTTGTCCAGCAGGTTGCGCACGTATGCGTCCGTACTGTACCCGGTGAGCAGGTGCGTGATCAGATACACCATCAGCTGGCGGCCCACGACCTGCGCAAACCGCCCCGGCCACGTAGTACGTCATCGAATGGAAAAACAAAACTGGATCACGCCGATTCCTTAAGGGTTTCGATAGTTTTCAATGAATTCCCGGTCAAACTGCTCGCATATTATACAAAAGACACGATTGCAAAATAATCTACGGACCCGCCTCAAGCATGCTCAAAGCTTGTTTGCTTCAAACATGCTTCGAAGATGTCTGCAGGCAGGAGTGTCATAGAAGGAAGAAGCCCCCATCAGACACTGTCTCCAGACAGCCTTTCAATGATGTACAAGCAGTGTGACCCCGACTTCAGACACTGCTTATACATCATGCAAAAGGCAGTCTGCAAACCTATTCGAACGCCAGTCACCACGAGATCCGTGCTTCGAATGCCGCATGGCAACGTGTTCAAGGAGCAACTTGGGCACGCGGCATTCGAACCAAGGATATTGCGGTGACTCGTGTTTGCAGACTGTCTCTTGTATGATATATGCGCTAGGGTGCCTTCATGTGCGCTCTGCTTAGGATGGAGACATCTGGTCCTTCTGTGCCCACTTTCGTGTTTCTTTTTTGATCAGAAGCGCGTGAAAGAGCGTGTCGCTGCACGCGTTTCTGGCGCTGACCGTGCTTTGGCCACATTTTGTTTTCGTCGATTTCTTTGCATTTTGCCCGTGAGCGCGTGCTGTCGGAATCGGGTACTGCAAAGTGTGGCATCACCCTAAACAGAAGAACATTGCGGCACCCTAGTATGAGCAGTGTAACCCAGAGGCTTTAGGCTTTTCAATGGTGCATCGGCAGCTTAGAGGTTAAGTGTGGGTTACTGTGGATTCCCCCGTGCTTTTGTGACACATTACCATCTACTGCTCGCTCCACCTACTACAACAATTGGTTCAGGTTACCCTTTACGTCTTTCCATCACACCTATCTCTTCCTAGAACCCTCTATATCTCTCACACTAAGCTAATGCAAACATTACAAAAAGAAGAGTTTTATAAAGTAGACAAAGTTCCTTCGTCACTTCGTGCAATGAGAAATGCTAGAAATAAAAAAATAATAAAAACGCCTATGTTCCCAAATTATAAAAAAACAAAAATTAAATTTCTTAGTTTCTGCGTTACTAAACATATATTGTACTAGGGCAGCGAATTGTGTGCGTTGGTAAACGTTATATATGAGGAAGACAACTCAAACGACGAAGACGCAGGAATGAAACGCACGACAGGACGAAGCTGTACTCGCAACTAAAGTTTTATTAGCGAAGAAAATAATAACCAACAACGTAGACAGCGGCGCGTCGACGGCATGACGTAGTTCTCGTCCCGCGCTCCTGAGCCGCCGAACCGACACTGCCGGCTCAGTCGCACGTGGAGTTTCAAAGCAGAAAGTAAGTTGCACATTTTCTTTTTTACCTCTGCACTTTGTTAATATGCACCAAATGTAGTAAGTTTTAGTTTGTATTAATAAATTTGCCTACCTTAAAGCGAATCCGACTGCTATTAATATGACGCGGTCAGTGCAGAGCAGCGTGACTGTATTTGTTTCTTTCTCGCGCAACAAGAGAAAAAGAAATAATGGGAGATAGATTGACAGATGGTAACCACAAGCGGTCTAAGTTGTTAAAGCTACGGTGCCTTCATGTGCACGCTAGTTAGATCTGCTGCGACCGGCCGCTCGTGCTGGAGCAGCCGGCGGACCGTACGTGAACAGCGACGGCACCGCATCGTTCTTCAAAGACGGGTGTTTCGTGGAGAAACCCGCAGCAGTCAGCCGCCGCAGATCCCGTGTGTAGGTGTCTGGCGTAAACTGCTGGGAGCAGAGTTTTGCGATGGAGCTCGGAGTCCCCGGTCTTCTGAAGTCTATCCGGTGAACGGCACCGATCCACACCCTGTGCCTCTTCCGGTCTCTTGGGAACTGGTGGAGCCGCAGCTCCGGGGTTGCGCACCGTGTTGTTCATGCAGCCCACAGCACTACAAATCACGCTCGACATTGCCCAACGCGAATCCGGCGAGTCTTTCCGGCTCCACGACACGCACGTGAGCGAGCAGCACCGCTTCGCTCTTTTCCGCAAGGTCGAGGAAGCTATGCTGGAGTTAAATGAACTGCCAGGATGCAACTAAATATAGGAGAACACGGGGTAACGTGGTAAGCACCTCTTGCCGTCAGGAGAATCGCAGAATGCCTCGGGAAACGAAGCGTCCGTGGCGTTTGTACGAGAGCAGAGGACGAAACCTACGTCACTGCCCAGTGTTGCTTCACTAACTCACCTGGTGCCAGCGTTGCTCACCCGTTGTCGGGTGCTAACCGAGCCGGAAGAACATTTTTAATATAGGTTTTAATCGAGAATGCAGCGTCCGTTTGACGTGATATTTTAGGTATGATTGTATTTGGCCCCCGAAGCGATATCAGCCATTTCTATAGGGCCGACTTTTTGAGTGTAGTTGCCCTTTAAGGTGCCGTTTGGCGCGCCTTGCTCTATGGGACAGTTAATGCTTTCGCAATAATAAAACTTTAGGTGTGAATGCAGCTTCGTCCTGTCGCGTATGTTCCTTCCCTTTGACTTCGTTGTTTGAGCTGTTCTCATCATGTATTAATGAACATATTAGTAATTAACACTGACTTGGTGTCGCCATAAAATAGTAGAGAAAAGGGTGCGGACTACACAGACTTATAGATAATAAAATTGGCTATAAGTAGCAGCTGTTTCACTAATACAGGGTCACTTTCAAAGGTACTCACGTGAGAAGGGAATATCATTTGTTGCCTGCTTGGACATTTTTGTTTCTTAAATAAGGACGCTGTTTGTTTTTAATTTTTACCCCTCCTACCAAAAGACAACCAAATTACTTTAGTGTCTATATTCTATTTAGTAGTTCGTGTGCCCATCCTGTGGTAACGATGTTTTTATGGAGATAGATGTAAGCTATATTTTAGTATTCAAAGAAATGTGAAACATTTAGTATCCTGTTCCTTTGTATATACTTTGCAGTTTGTACATCCTCTAAATTGCGGGGGTAGAGGCTCACTCAGGCAGAAGTGCCCTTCGCTACTTCATTCCCGCATGGCTTAGCCAATAGGGACCCAATTAAAGTGCAAGCTCTTTCTCAACCTTGTTTTAAGTTTACCCATAAAGACAATAAGAAACGCTGTCCACATTTGCAAGTTCCTAAGGAATGAAGCTCGCGGGCTTAGCAATTTCATGACGTTCATTTATTATTCCAGGATGATCACGTTTAAATATACTGTTGCTTGGTTCTGTTTTTTTTCTTTTAAAGCCTAGTATCCACTGGCGGTCTCGTGAGCGCAATGACCCTCACATAAGGACTTCTAGCAGAATTTTTTGAAACAAAGTTAGGATATTATAATAATAATAATTATTTATTTGACATAGTGTACATGATGGAAGCAGACAGAGAAAAAAGTAAATAAGCGAAATACATTTATTTAAAAACGGAAACAATTATAAAGTGTATACTCAATTTAACAATTCGAAACTCACTTTGGCACGCAGAAAGAAAAGCAGCTCCGACAACAATTCATAGACAAACTGAGGATGAAGCTGCAATTCTATGTAATATTCAAGAACTAAAATGGGCACCCTTCTTAAATTCATGTAAAAATTACAAACTAGCAAAAAATAAAATAATAATAGAGTACTAAGTATGACACTGAGTAAAATATTTACATGTATTCATCCTTAAAAAAAGTCTCGAATACCTTTCGTTTTTGATGTTAGAGGTTGGATGCTTTGAGCGTTTACGTAATTAAGTAGGTTAGAAAGAATGTGCGATAGCCTCCGCTCCCCACAGTTCTACAACTGGATACTCTCCACTTGTCTATGCTACGAGTAGGCTATGTTGGCAATTTCGTCGTTGAGAAAACAAGTTCAACAAGATTACGAACATATTTTTTTTCCTTTTGACCTGTCTCTTATACATAAACCAAATTCGTGCAAATTATATACTGGTATCCCATTCAGGCTTGTAGAAACAGCACTGCCGAGGTGACGGTTCATTCATTCGTTCATTCATTCATTTGCTTTATTTTGCGAGCCACACAAACAATTACGCGCATTTTTAGTGGTGTCCTACGTCACAATACTAAGAGTTCACATCTCAAGAACAAATTTTGACTCGTCAGAATGAAATTAAGGCGTCAACGAACTTTCTAAATGTTTGATCGCATTCAAAAATAGCAATATCAAATTAATCTAAGATGGATTCGAATTTGTTAAAAATCCGTTTGCGGACGGCTAATGGAATCAGTGTTGTGCAAAACAGAAGGATAAAACAATGAGCGTATACGACTAGACCTTTGAGGAACACGAAGTAGTACACAAGTTAGTCGCGCTGTGCAATCACCAACATCGTTGACAACCTTATGCAAAAACATAAAATCACGTATCAACCGTCAACTATGCAAACCGTCTATTACATGCTATATGTATCTGTTACCCAAAAATCTATTGCACATTATATCAACCGGCTATTGCACATCATATGTAATATGTCGTGGGACGGATTACGTATAATACGGAACATTTTTTTTTCTGTAGGGTGTTCTCAGATAAGGTCAGTCATAGTGGTGTCACGCGTATTTCTTATTTTCAATTGAAGTTTTTATGAGGTAGAGAAATGTGTCCATACAACTGTAAGAACATTACTTGCTTTTACAGTTGTATGGACTGTAACATCAGATACCAGGCTGCACACATTAGTATGCTCTCATTTGTACAACTAAAACGTATATTCAATACTTTTTTTCGTCTTTGATTTAGGGAAAACACTCGCTGAAAACATTTAGCATCAGGGTTTTTCACGAGCATGTTTTACGCTTGTGTTTCCTTTATGATTTAATTGTCACATATTACTTTTCATAACCTTGACCCCTGACATGTGAAAATTAGCACTCTGCTGGAGTTTTTTTTTTTTTTTTTTTTCTACTGGTGTCAATTTATACCGAATCACCGACAATCGGAAATTGGCTGTCGACAAAAGCGGTTAGGCTTGTTTGGCGTAATATGTTTACACTTTTTGTTCGGTTCCATGTTCGCAGATTTGATTAACGGCTGGTAAAAAAATTAGCTATTGGTGTAAAATACATCTTCAGAAGATAGGAGCCGTCACATAATCTATAAATAAATATTTTAATCAATAAATGGAACTGAGATATTGTTGTGGAGACATCAAACTGAACATTGCGTTAAAAAAAAAGCTAATATCGAGCCAACATGGTTAGTTCATTACTGATGCTTTTGTTCTTTTTTTCCCATTCTTCAAATACAATAAGTTTGTGAATGTAACATAAACTGGATCAAGAATAGAAGATAAAAACGAAAATTTCTTGTGATGCAAGTAAAGATATCGGTGGCAATGAAGCACTACTACTGTAAAACCCTTAATGTTCACGGGCCCTTAATTTTTGGCGAATTTCGCAAATTGAAAAGTTCGAGAAATTTAAGGGCACGCGAAAATTTCGATCCTGAATAGTTTCAATGCAGGCGTCTGGAAGTCGCGAAATTTAGTGGCGGCGATGGTGTCCTCTGTGATCGATTCGCGAAACATAGGGGCCGCGGAAATAAAGGGTTTTACAGTATTTCAGTAAAAAGATTTTGAAAATGCGAAAGGCAACATTGTTTCCCTTCTTTCTCTCAACCAATTTTGGTTCTAAAAAAAAAAAAAAAACGCCACACGCATTTTTCTATTCGGGTAAAGCCACGTCCCCATAGTTGCGCCTCCGATCCCCGTCGCTAGCATCATATTCAAGCAGGATTCCGAGTTTCTGCGACAGGTAGTTTACTTATCAGGAGCGACTAAAAGATTTCCATTTTCTTGATGAAGCACTGCCTACAAAAAGCAAATGGCGCACTCCGCAAAGCAATCTAAAAAACAAAAAATAAAAAAAAACTTTGACAATCTATTAGGCTGATAGCTTTTATTCGTAGTTTTTCGATAGTAAATCGATAGTTTTTCAATAGCTTATTATCAATAGTTTCTAAGAATGATTTTTATAATTTTCCGATTGTTTTCCAATAGCTTTAGGTTTTTCCTCAATGATTATGCGAAAGTCCCAAGTAGCAGTAACGTTTTTGTCCGAGCTTCACGACATTTCCTGAATGGACTCTTGACGTTCTTTGACACCTAACAAAATACTATCGACACCTTTACGGTAGTTGGCTATTGATAGTTTAACGCTAGTCGACAAGTATGATAGTATGCCATCGATAGTCTTGCGATGGTCTACTATCGATGGTACTATCGATTTTTTTTTTCATTCAATATCGATACTGAAAGTTTGCTTCCACTATGGATAGTATCGATACTATCAATGGTTTAGCACCCCCGGGGTACCCTCCGCCGCATCAAAAGTCCAACAATTCAGCCAAAGGTACTCGAGCAGAACAAGGTCGAATACTGCGTAAATGTTTTGTTTTCCTAAACATGCGAATGGTTCTGCATGTTGCAGTTGTTCCGAATTTGTAGTTAGGGTATATCAAAAATTGTAGCCCAAGACACAAAACACAAGTGCGTTCTTTTGAAAAGTACGTCTATTCGTGGGAACACAGTCTCCTTTATAACCGGAATTTTGCACATAAACAGTTGCGCTACAAAATTGAAAGATCATTATTTAAACTTTTTATAATCAAAGTATCTAACAAAGCGCCTGTTAAACCATCATTTCCCTAACCATTAAAGTTATAGGTCCGTGGACTAAGCTCGTTACGTGGGGGGTTGTGTTCGTCGATTCTGGGACAGTTCAAGAGTAGCAAACCACCGGTAACATACTTCTTTCCAGATTAACGCAGATTCGCAACAAACCGAAAAAGGGAAGAGGAAAAACAAAAAAACAGGAGTTAAAAAAAAACAGTTAGTGACAGCAGGACTTGAAGATCTGTTGTGCTCTTTCAGTATGTTAGACTAGTGACTTGTTTTTGTTCAGAACGAGTGAGAATAGACGGATTTTTACTGCAGGAGCAGAAGCAAGAGTAACATCTTCCCCCATCTGCTTCGCGTATACTCTTCAACCAGGTGGATGTTCTGTTTGCGGTTCCTTAAGCGAATCTGCATATGTCACTTTGAGTAGGGAACTTTACACCGTATTTTGAGGACTAAAGGTCGCGAACTATGCATGTATAAAAGTTGAAATTGTTCGCGGTGCGGACTATCTACAGGTTCGGTTTATATGAGGATTAGATTTTTTTGTTTTGTTTTTAAGATCGATCATTATGAAGAGGCGTGATGATTTTATTAATGACAGATTATGTTAATACTGATTTCTGTATGCTAAAAGCTTATTTGTGCTCTATTGAAGCATTCATGTGCTAAGGTGTGTTCATCCCCGACTCACTTGGTAATCAAAGCCTGGGTGCATGCAGTAAAATGAGAATTTTAACAAAATAAAAAACGTCGCACTGTTCCCCGGAACTAATTAGCTATCAGTCATAAAATAGCTATAATTCAACTTCCGGACGCGTATAGTTTTTATTCCACGACTCTACCAATTTTGTTGCATTAAATCCCATAGGCCACATTCCCAAAATTATCAATTTCTGCTTTTCTTGACAAAATATCTTAATGTTCCCGAGGACTGTAATTGCCTGCGTATCATAAATCGGAAATAAATTAGAAGTTGGATATTTCGTAGATTTTTTTTTAATTATATAGTATGTCCCAGAAAATGGGCCATGGTGAGGGATAATTGTTTCACTCGCGCAATATGCACCTGGAGTGAGTCTATGCACAGGGTGTAAACTATGTAAGGGAAAACTTTTTTCTTTTTATTTAGCCGAACTTTGGTCATTCGGACTATGCACAGGGCGCTGCCTGTAGTCCGAAAAATGCAGCCGTTTTGGTGTCTTTGTAGGAAGGCAAAGCCGTTTGTCTTGTGCCTTTGGCGCGATATTCTTCAAGCTTGTATGGCTTCCACAGACGATAATTACTTGTGAATATACTTTCCAGAGTAAAATGCCCCGCGAGTACTATGCCACGCTCGCAATAATCGATATTTTTTTATATACTCTACTTCTAGGCTTCATGATTCATTTCAGAAACAAATTAAGAAACGCGACTCATTTCATTTGTTTTCAAATTGGGGTTCACGTGTTGTACAGCTGACTGTGATTTCTTAGTATGAGCCCCGTCAATAATTATTCTGTCGTTATTTAAAATACAGGGGCTACAAAATAATAGCAACAATTTGGCAACGTCAGCCAGCAATCAACATGAGAAATAAAAAAAAAGGCATGAACTTTTTCTCTGGCCTTTTTCGCCCGCAATAAAACGCCACGTAGGCAGTACCAGCGTTTCCGTAAAAATATTAGGGGCTTTATTCATAAAGGACATTGTTTTTCCATTAGCAACCAACGTATACGTTAACCCGTAGTTCGTTAAGTAATTGGGAAATAATACGACGCGCTTCGCTCGGTACGCCTGTAGCGTCCTTACCTCATTGCCGTGCATGTTGGCCACGTATTTGACGTTGGGCTTAAGCAGCGGCTCTTCGTGCGGCTCTTTGGTGATGAGGAGAACCCAGAGGTCCCGGTCTGGGAAGACAGAAGCGAGTCAACAAAGGCGCAAATAACTTGAGCGAAGGGTGGGACTAGGGTCGTAAGGGTACTTTAAATTATTTCGCATAATATTCTAATAATATTGATCATAGTGTCTATACAAGAAACACTAAGCCTGAATATGGTACATTGTCGTTAGGATTAAAAAATGCGTACAAAGCAGCAGAAATATTTGAAAATCAACGTTGCAATTATGCACACACTATAGTCGGTAACAAGTTAAGAGTAAAGTGGAAGCTCCTCCGGTCTCTTTCCACTTTGGCAAAGTGAACGCTGGAAAGGAGGCGACCTCCTAGCCAGCGTTCGCTTTTCTTAAGTAAAAAGAGGTGGGAGGAGCTTCCACTTCATTCTTAGCCTGCCACCTAATGTATTATGTTTATTGCTCGTCCAAAAGTGGTAATGTCATAAAATAGTGTGTATTGCATATTGGTTTAGCCTTTCTTTTTACTATCCAATTGCGTTTTCGTAATGTGCGATGTATTCTAGAAAGCCAACAGATAAAAAAGACTTTAAGAGCGACTTTACCCTAGAGAAACCATGAAAGTAAACAGTGCCTAAAAGCAGCGGCCAATGAACCGCTGCGTTGACAACCTTACAATAAATCATCGTAAAGACGTCAATTAAACAATGTCTTTCATCGTGAGAGGTTAAACGACCTTATAACCCCTAAAATTTTAGAGCAGGTCGAATATGCTCCTGCAGAAAGAAGCAAGCTGCCGCAGTCAAAGTCTCAAACTCTGAAATTATTTCTATCAAAGTGGCACTAAAGTGCTTTTCGAGATCCTAGTTTTATTGTCATAATTCAATCTGCGAGCTCTAAGCACTCTAAAAAAAAAAAAAAAAGGCAAGTAATCGCGCCCGGCCGATTCGCGTATTAAAAAAGTGATACGCGTCGGGAACTTTGATCACTTTTCAAATATGCAGATCGGTCGCGCATGAATGTAATTGCGTTTCTATTTATTAGGATTCTTAGAGCTCGTAGATTGAGTTATGACCATAAAAAGAGGATCTCAAAAAGCACTTTAGTGTCCCTTTCCGGTCAAGCAGGCCCTGGTGATTTGTAGCTGAACCTTTGATATTGAAATATAGCCAAAAGCACTCTCGGCAATAGACCCTCTTCCAAAGTTCATCGAGATAGACGGGAGGGCGCTGGCGCAGCCCTCCCGTCTAATGCATGCCCAGAGTACGCACCCAAGCAATGGCGGACCAGGATAATTTGCACAGCCACTACAAGATTGCGCGCACTTTTAAGGGGGGTTATTAGTCAACTACCCGAGTGAAAACAGCCTATAGTCGCGGACAACTTAAGAAACGACGGGGGAGGTGGGTCCCGGGCATCTTATTACCTCTCCTCAGCCAATCAGAGTACAGCACTTGCCGATAAGACTGCCAGACAACCAATCACAAAGCAAGAAGGGTAGACATAATAAGCTATGCCCCACGTGTGTTTAGCTGATGGCGACTGTAAATTGAAAGGCGTAGTGTGCTGATTTTTTAAAGTCATCTACTGGCGGTCAGCGCGGGTCACAGATTGGGGACGAATGATACGGCAGCGTTGGGCTGGCCCTCGCTTCCAGTCAGTTGGAACTACGAGGCGCAGTCTGAGTTGTGACTATAAGCAATGCAAGCGTGACGTTTTGCATTGCTTAATGTCACAACTCCGACTGCGTTTTTTGGTCTAAACATACGTTTCGGCATCGTCATTCGCTGAGCTGCCTCCGTAAGTTGCGGTGATTGGCTCTCCGAGCTTGTGCGGGAAAGCAGACGCACGGGCATTGTTTAGAGTGGTCTTCGTTTCACAAAGTCCAGACGCAGCTGATGCTACGAGTTGATGGGACCAATCGAACAGCGTGAAAAGCGCAAGTGACTGAGTCTTTCCTGTACGTGATTGATTCGGCGATGATAGAACACGTATACGACACTTGATGAATACCATCACACTGCACTTTTGACGCTGTTTGATTGGTCTCATCGGCTCGCAGTGTTTGGCTACGTCTTGACTTAAGGTGAAAAGAAGTATAGTGATAGAGTAGATTTGTCTTTCTCTGGTAGGATCGACGCGTGGCTTACTTTCGACGGACTTTCCGACGCTGTAGAGCTTGGTGAAGTCCGGGTAGTCGGTGCTCACATTGCGCAGAAAGGCCGTCATTTCCTCGTGGTTGTAGTAGAAGTAATCGTTCCGGTGCTTGCCTCCCGTGCTTTTCCCGCGCACGTGCTTCACGGCGCTTAGGTACAGAAGGACGCTCGTGAGAACCAGCGCCGACGCGCACCAGTTGGAAGGCCGCATGCTGACGGAACCTGCGAAAGTAGAGGACATGCATTCCGGAGTCAGGCAGATCAAAACACGCACAAGTATAAACGTGTTTTCATCATTAAGGTGCAACCCCACCGGTCATGACATTTTGGTGCTTTTTTGACGGTTTATATATTTCTTTCTATGTATCCTACAGCTATAAAGTTAATGTCGAATGAAAGAGCTGTTTTTCAACGATACTTTAATGTCTCGATATTATAATTATTTTTAGTTGTTAGATTATTATCCAGCTTTTAATAACCACAGTCACCAATAATGAAAAAAAAATATTTCTCAAGTTATAACGTTCCATCGTCCACGATATTTTACGTGAACGTCCGGTTGAATATAATGAATTAAAAATTTACCAATGAACTGTACAGATAATGTATAATTTAAAATAAAAATAAAGCTTAAAATTATATTATTTTATGGTTCTATAAAAACGGAATCACGTCAACTAATCAAAATTACGAGACATTAAATTATGAAAGCCCATCCTTTGATATTACATTTTCCAGAACTTTTATAATGATATATTAAATGTTAAGAATGTTATTAGGCCTCAAACTTTTCCCATTAGGTTACGCCAAATTGCAGTCTCTTAATATAAAATATAGATAGTGAAACGTGTTCAAGAATAGCTTGATGTGCATTTTCCGTCGTGTGCCGCTGGGAACGCCACGTGAAAGACAGAAAAAGCGCCGGGTGTCAGGGTGTCAGATGCCAGGATTCCCGCAGTGAGCGAGGGGGGATCGGTGGCTGAGGGGGTTAGCGCACACCAGCTCGGAGCACGTGGTGCGAAAGCTCGCGCTGCAGACCCCAGGGATCCTGGGTTCAATCCCCACTCCTGCCCGTTTTGATCTAAATGAGCATCATACCGGCGTGCGGTCGTGTATCACTACTGCGTCGTGCACGTTAAAGACCACAAGCTAGCGGTGTTATAGCACTGGGTAAATACTGCTCATCTGCAGCTGAGACACCAGACGCCCACTGGGGCGGGCTAACTCTCGGCTGTGTAAACATACACACAACAATTTGCTTTTTGTTTGCAGTGAGCGAGCCAGAGATGTCAAAACAAAAGGCGTGAGGCTACGGGTGCGCCACAGTTGCTTTTGCGCGCGTTCTACTGTGCGTCGGTACAGATGCCTGACGGGATCCACATGAAATGGGTGCCATGAAAGGGATTCCGCCATTTACGATTCCGCCACGTATGCGAAATCATTTGAATGTTTTTATCGCTTGCGAAAATCATTTTCGCAATCAAACTATGTTTGTTGGAATAGTTACTATATTTTGTCTAAAAAACGACTGCGGTGGCTCTTAAGTTGGAATGATATTTAAACAAAACTCAAAACATTAAAACGTTTCAGTGTCTCTGAGCCAACGCGCTGGCATTGAATTCATATGTGTCGGGTTTAAATACCGGCCGAGCTGCCCGCAATCTGACGGAGGCCAATCTGAGATTTTGGTTGCACGTCAAAAGATCCTCACGTGACGCGGCCGCCGAAAGTGAAAAGGTAGAGTGGTAGACAAGAGTCATGTAACGGACGCCGAGCTGCGGCGAGACGCTGAGACAGGCTTGTTCCGAGCAATGGAATGTCCGCTCGTGCTTCTGGCGTTCCTAGGGCTACCGCTTCCCTTCTCGTGGGATTCGAAAACCATGTTTCGGGTTCTCGCCACTGCAAAAGCTGCGCGCTGAATACCGGACTCCCCGAGAAATACTTTGTGCTACCAGATCCTCGCGCACCAAATCTGCGACCGGGCACTCTATGGCTCCGTCATCGAACTGTCAGACTTTGTGAGTATTGAGGAGACTATAGTGGTACATGCATTAGAGACCAAGGTAAAAAAAACATTCTATTTCGCAGATTGTAAAAAAAAAATCTATGCTACTTGTTACGTGTGGCACAATCAATACAAAATATTCTAAACTTTGCACGTGGTCGGTTGCGGGGGTAAACAATGTTGTTTGTCAAGAGCATTTGCGATTGTATGAAATCACGTGGGAAAAACTCGTTCTAAGCACGCGACCGTTGGCAGGCGGTGAAAACTCATAATCGGCGTCGAGATGATTGGTAGCTGTCAGCAGGTAGAGCTTTTCTATCAACCCAGAATCAGAATGTTTCCTTCTTTCTGTTGTAAGCAATCACTAGACAACTTACACCAAATCTGAGGGTAATAAAGTACTATGAACATTCAAAGAGAACGGCCTGAGCAGCGTATATGTACAACCTTTAGATTTTGATGTACCCTTAACTTTTAATACGCTCAATCAACCCTAGTGTAAAATGTAGCGCTGTTTCTGTCTTAATCAGCGTTCCATAGGCGTGCTTGCACTATATTTGATAGAACGTCAAACTCTACCCGTTTGCATCTTTTTCATTTTTGCACACCACTACTTGCGCGCATAAATCACCAAATTAAGGCTAGTACATTGCTTAAACCCTGTGAAAAAAGCTATCCACAGTCCCTGAATCTTTTCCTGGTAAGTCATTGCATTAATCACTAAACTCGATTTAAAATTAATTTTTATCATTTATTCCTGCGAGTTAATTTTTAACCTTGGTATTTTTTTCATTATGACTCCCGCACCATTCCTGCTTTTTCGTTTACCAAACTCAATATCTAAACCTGAGTGTCATTTTTTGTGTTTTCCAGCCTCGTGGTTTTGGTAAAAATAAACACCCAGCCACCTAAATGAGAGTAGAGACCTGACCGCACAAAAAATAGTTCATTTGTTTTGATTTCGGAGGTATTTACTTTCTCAAGCTAGCATTTTGGAAACCCAAGTTTATCACGTTATCACGGTTTCCTGGAAATCCAAAAAAAGCCAAACACGTGCACGACAAAAGGGCCGGCCCGTGGTATAAATCTGATCACATTGAAATATGTGTAATTGGACTCCGAAATCCCCGCGGGGTGCAAACGGCGCGCAGGCAATTTTATAGTTTTTAACACATCGGTTGTTTTGTTTTGCATGGGTCTCGCTATTTGGCCCAGGACGATTTTCGCGCTTTGTTCTGACCACATTTGCTGGAGACGTGAGCTCGGAGCGTAGGCAACTGGCCTTCTTTCACAAGAACTGGCGCAGCTGTGCGTGTTCCAAAGAAAGCTCGTGCAGAGAAAAACAACCGAAGGACCAGGGATGTCCCATTCAGGGTATGGAAAAATACTCCACTGCATCGAAGCGCCACCACACACGATTTCTCGCATTGACGTACAGGCCTGAATCGATGGATGAATTCTTCTGAGCCCTTTGCACCGCGCGGTAGCTTACGCCACCTAGCCATTTTGTTTGACCATTTAAGCTTGGAATATTTAAATGTGAAAACAATATTCACTCCGCCCTGAAAAGAAAGTGAGGCTATGAAAACCCCTTGCCATCAATTAATAATAAAATACCTAGTTTTCTCTCGCTTTTTGCCACCATTCACTTAATGTTTGCTTGGTAATCTCTACTGTCTTAAAATCCACTCTTCCTTCGCTGTCTCTAAAACCCAATGACTTTATTATATCTATGTTGTCTTCGGTAGGCATAGGGTGAAGTCCTTTACAGTAGAGTATCAAGTGCTCAGCCGTCTCGTCCAAATCTCCACAAGCAGTGCACACTGTAAACATTTCCTGGTACTTCGCTCTATATGTTCTGGTTCGCAAAAGACCCTGTCCTGGAAGGCGATCCCACCGCCATCTGTTGGTTCAGAATCACACTAACCAAGGGTGGGGTTTCACCTGAAAGCATGAAATGCTTTTAGAGCAGAACACCCCCCTCCCCTCCCTTCCCCAATCTCAACATTTTGGCCGTCCTTCCATGGATTTCCCGGTAAATTTAACGGGGAACTTGACGTCACGTGACTTATACAGCAATTAGGTTTACCGGTTAAATCTAGCATGAAAATTGATGTCACGTGACCTTACGTCGCGACACCTAAAAACCAATTCAGTTTCCCCCGCTAAATTAAGCGGAAAAATTGCGATCACGTGACTGAGCAAGTAAATTTCCCCAGTAAATTTGGCGGGGAAATTAATGTCACGTTACCCGACATCACTAGACCTTTACATCAAATATTTAGGGCGTAGCTCTTATACTTCGTCTCACCCTACGATGGACTAAAGGAAAAAGCTACAGACCGCCAGATCCAATCAAGAGCCACTTAGAAATTGTGCGATACTTCGCTTCGATGCACGCATCGGTGCCCGAATCTCGGATCACTGATAAGGAGACGGGTGAACAGTGATTCGAATCGAAGAGCAAACAGGGACTCAACAATTTTACACCGCAAAGAAAGCCACAACATATAGGCTCTTTGCAGCGTCGAAGCTATAGAAATGATGGGGCGCTTTTGGATTCGAGCATTATTCGTCTACCCCTTATCAATGTTAAGCGTGTCGTAGAATAGCGTGGAACGCGATTGGACCTGGCGGCCCGTGGCTTTGGTCTTTAGTCCATCGTAAGATGAAGAAATGTTTCTGAAGTTTCAACTGAAGAAATGTTTCAGACAATCATTGATGGCCAAATCGCGATTAAAAGTGAAATATCTGAGCTCAGGGCTCGACACGATCGTAATGACAAAAAAATTGAAGACCTAACGTCTAAATGCACGGGAATCGAGAGAACTCTGAGCGATCTACAAATAAAGACTATGCAGATTGATTCCTAAAGCAAACTGTAACTGCTCTTAAGCAAATTATATTGAAACAAAATGCAAAAATTACTGATCTGGAAGACAGAAGTCGCCGTTTAAACCTTGTAATCCATGGCATCCCAGAAACTCCCAATGAAACCGACGACCAATTAAAAAGAACAGTACTCGTTGAACTTTTTCAAGATAAACTGGGCGTTGCGTGTTCGCCCGTGGCGCGTGCTCACAGGCTTGGTAAACATGGCTCCAAAAGACCGATTATTTTATACTTTCAGGATTACAATGAAAAAACGGAAATCCTTTGTGATGCTAAAAAACTTAAAGGCTCGAAAGTGTTTATAAACAATGATTACTCGC